TTTTTTTTTTTTGGAGAGGTTTTTTCTATAGGGTACGTGTGCTCGCCAGACAGACAGAGAGAGACAGGGAGACAGAAAACAAGAAATCACCCCCCAGGGGGAATGGCCATGCCACAATCCCTTCTCCTCCATTCTCCTCTCAGGATCAGGACTCAAACCATGGTCGACTACATGGGAGTCCAGCGACATAGCCATTATGCTAATTGCTGGTCCCCATTTGCAACTTTTCTATAAAATTTAATATTCAGTCAGATAAAAAAATAATAAAGGAAAGCTCCTAAATATATAGAACCTGTCTACATGTCACTATGAGATATAGAGCATGTCAGTGAGATGATAATTTAAGATAAGCAACAACACTGATTAGAGAAAACAATGAATTGGGGAAACAACATAACCATAGGACAAGAATTTAGTATGAATGCATATGAACATGTAAGTAGATGCATAATAAGTGCATTTAGGGAGCACTATTCTCCATGTACTCAGTTAAATAGGGCAGAGAAACACAACTACTTGGATGGACCAAGAGTAATTTGACCTATTCCTTCTTTCCTTTTTTACTTTTAATTTTCAAAGGGTGCTTGTTCTTGCCAGAGAGAGAAAGGGAGAGAGAAAAATAGCCCCCAATAGAACATGGTCATGCCACAATATCTTTTTCTTTATTCTCCTTCTCAGCAAGATTTAGGACATACGTATACACACACCCGAAATGTTTTTGAAGCTGCCAGTTCCAGGATTTGAACCAAGGTTAGGATCCAGCTCCCTATGCAGTGTTTGACTGCTGCACTATGGGCCAGCCCAGACCTATTCTTTCTTTGAGGAAGGTGTTATGAAGAATACACCATTTCAAAAGTTACTTCAATTGGGCCAGGCTGTGACATGGTGGTTAAGGCAGCCAAATTTCACATGGCCTCCTGCATGGTTTCAGTCCCAGACCCAGTTCCTAGAGAAACATGCCACGTGTATATGTGTGTGCCCAAAATCCTGAACAGAGGGAGAGAGGAGGGACTGTGGCTTCATGATTTCCCATGGGGGGGAGGGAGTTGTTTCTCCTCTCCCTCTTCCTCTTTGTCTCTCTGGAAAACACATGGACCCTCTAGAAAAATTTAAAAACAAACAAAAACCTGTTTAAATCAAAAGAGGGAAAGGGCTGGTGATATCAGAGCCATGTGTCCAGATGCACTGGCCTTCCTAAACCAGATTCTGCCACAACATATGAAGTATCAAGCAACAAAGCTATCCATGGGCAAAAAAACAAGTTGCAGCAGGAAAGAAAAGATGGCAGTTTTCCTTGTATCCCCTGGTAAAGTACTTACAGAAACTGTGGGGAGCTTGGACATGACCACAAATGGAAGAAACAAATCTATGTATCTTTGTATTTTTTTTTTTTAGAGAAATTTTTCCTATAGGCCATGTGCACTCACCATAGAGACACAGAGACAGAAAGTGAGAAATCACCCCCCCCCACCAGAGGGGATGGCCACAC